ACACGAACCGCGGTCGACTACGTGGGAGTCCAGCGACATAGCCATTACGCTAACTGCTGATTCCCAGCCCAGCATGAGTTTTAAGCTGCCAAGTCCAGTACTCAGACCGCAGTTGGCCATGTGAGAATTCGGTGACATAACCATTACACCATCTGCTGGAATATCTTAACCCACTCATTCTATTTATACTGTCTTTTATTTATTAATGATTAGGACATGTGTACTCACCAGAGAGAGAGAAAGAAAATCAACCCCTAGGGAAACTGGCCACACGACAATCCCTTCTCCTCCATTTTTCTCTCAAGATGTGGGCATGTAGGCACACATGCCCAGCATGATTTTCAAGCTGCTGGGTCCAGGACTTGAACGTCACTGTTAGCCATGTGGGATCCAGCCACCTTAATCTCCACGGCACCTGCTAGCCCTGTTATTTTCTCTTTATGTACATACAAGAGTAATAATATCTGTCTAAAATCTAAAATAGTATGGTCAATGCATGTAAAATCAAAATCAAAGTAAAAATAAAGCACTAATGTCATAGTTTAACTGCACATAAAACAGTGATGCCTATCATAATGGCGTTTTTGGATTTGATCAAGTGACAAGGCTACCTTTACATTATTTTTTTAATTGAGAGATTTTTGCTATAGGGAGCATGTGCTCACCAGAGAGATGTAGAGAGAAAGCAAGAAATCACCTCCCAGAGGGATGGCCATGCTGCAATCCCTTCTCCTCTCTGGATTTTGGGCGCACATGCACAAATGCCCAGTCTGAGTTTCAAGGCGCCAGATCCAGAACTTGAACTCAGTGAGTGCCACATGGGAGCCCAGCACCTTAACACCACTATGTCACCTGCTGGCCCCCTTTATTTATTTTAAAATAATTATTTTATCCACTTTCATCATCCACTTATTTTGACCAGAGAGGAACAGGGAGAAAGAGAGAGAGAAAGTAAGAAAGCAAGCTGCCAAGTCTGGAACTCAAACCGTGGTCGGCCTTGTGGGAGTCCGGCGCCCTCAATCACACCACCACCCACCAGTCCCTTCATGTGTTTTAAGGTTAAAGGAAGTCACGTGACAAAATGTTAGCCGGAGTGACTGGCACATTCTAGACAGGCCTACAGGAGCAGGACCAAGCTCCGAGGCACGGTGCTTTCTTGCTCAGGAGACCTCTAGAGATTCTGAGAACATATGTGCAGCAGATGGCTCTGCTATTTTTGCCAAGTCTACTACACGTAAACTTGGCATTTAATCCTACCCTGACATCACAAAAACAGTTCTGAGGAGGGACTATTAGTCTTGGCTTCTCCAAGGAAACCAAGTGCTTTAATGATTGACTCCATTTCCATAATGGAGACCGGCTAAAAAATTAAAAGGAAAAAAAAAGGCCCTAAAGAAAGAAAAACAATCACTTGGAAAGCTCACATGACAATCAGGGGTACGTACACCCCGCCTGCCTGTCCTGGAGCACGGCCTTCCTAGAGTGAAGACAAGGTCTAGGCCCTGGCCGGAAGTCAGGGATCCCTTTTCACACCCCTTCGTGTGGAAGTGTGATTCATACTGGGTCCCGATGACCCTCTAAGAGGAGGATGAGAAAATACAGGAATCACGTCACACCCAGCTCCCCATGTCCTCCTCGGGCCATCCTACCTCCTCCAGCCTGTCTTTCACACCCACACCTCACCACAGTGTACTGCCAGGCATGCAAACAGGGAGAACAGGCACAGGCTTGTGAAGCCTTCTTTACCAAGTCATGGCTGTCAAACGCATCTCTACTAACACTGCTACCCTTCAGGTGTACGTGTACCAAAACTTGTAATACCTTTGTGTTATTATGCTCAACGAAACAAATACTATATTTTTTTTTTTTTGAGAGGTTTTGCTATAGGGTGCACACACTCGCCAGACAGACAGAAAGAAAGAAAGCTAGAAATCACCCCCCCAGGGGGGATGGCCACACCGCAATCCCTTCTCCTCCATTCTCCTCTCAGGATCCTGGGCACGAACGCACACGTGCCCGGCATGAGTTTAAGTCACCGGGTCTGGGACTCAAACCATGGTCGACTACATGGGAGTCCAGCGACATAGCCATTACGCCAACTGCTGGTCCCCAAATACTAATTATTATAGGTTATTTAACAAAAAAATTGTTAAACACTCAGAACCTTATGATCACACAAAAAATATTTTAAAATCCCCTATATATATGTTTTTTTTTTTTTTGCTTTAGGGCACGTGCGCTCACCAGACAGACAGAGAGAGACATAGAGACAGAAAGTGAGAAATCACCCCCCAGGGGTATGGTCACTCCAATCTCTTCTCCTCCATTCTCCTCTTGAGATTTTGGGCACACACGCACATACACCCAGCACGAATTATAAGCCGCCAGGTTCAGGACTCAAACTGTGGCCCACTACGTGAAAGTCTAGTGACATAACTGTTATGCCATCTGCTGCCCAACCCCCCCCAATCCCCTATTTTTAAATAACCACGGATTCACAGACAGTTGCACAAAAAGCATCAAGAGGTTTGTTCCATGTACTCTTGACAGTTTCCCCAAATAATTATGAAAGATAGCTTCTTAACATAACAATTTATATATAAATGTCAGTGCAGGAGAAGCCTAATGGTGGGATTAATAAAAACACTTTTAATTATAAAAACAGATTACCCCACTAAATTTTATCCTAAACAAGGGGAAATGAGAAAACAAATTCAAAGGGGGGGATGATATCGACATCTTTCTACCCCACTGAACCCATTTAAGAGTAACGCAATAATAATTATTTTTTGGAGAGTTTTTTTTTTTTTTTTGCTTTAGGGCACGTGCGCTCACCAGACAGACAGAGAGAGACGGAAAGACAGAAAGCGAGAAATCACCCCCCAGGGGGGATGGTCACGCTGCAATCCCTTCTCCTCCATTCTCCTCTCGGGATCTTGGGCATACACGCACATGCGCCCGGCGTGAGTTTTAAGCCACCGGGTCCAGGACACGAACCATGGTCGACTACGTGGGAGTCCAGTGACATAGCCATTACGCTAACTGCTGGTCCCAGTAATTTTATTTTTAATCACTTAATTTTAAAACATCACTGCTTATAATGTATTAGAAACACAAACTTAAAGGATTTTTTTTTTATCAACTTAAAAAACAGGGGTACATAAAAGTAAGGGGAATATGGGTTTTTAAAAATCTTTTGGGGCCAGCAGGTGGCATGATGGCTAAGGGCATTAGACTCCTACATCACCGACCATGGTTCAAGTCCCGGATCTAGTGGCTTGCTTTCTCACTTTCCCTTCCTCCCTCCCTCTTTCTCTCTCATCAAATTAAAATAAATAAAGTTAAATAAAATAATTTCTAAAAAAAAAAAATCTTTCAAGGAGGTACATGAACAATAAAGATGAAAGACCATGCATCTAAGTAAGAGAAGAGTTAAATCCAAGAGGAAGTGTACTGCGATGCCCTCTGGTGGTACCAAGGAAAACAAGGGGAAAGAAACCAGCCAGGCTGGCCCCTCTCCTTAGAGGACCGAGGACTGTGTTAAGAAGTCAGAAGCCCTGGAACATTACCCTTATGAGACCAACAGAGAGCATGTGCTCTATCTCCCTGGGAGGTCACCCAGTTAAGTGGTGCCATTTGTCTACTAACCACGTCCTCCTGCCCACCGCTAGAGGAGCACGGAGGTGCTAGATGCCGAGTGAAACAGCACCCGAAATACTGCTCTGGCTGCTGAGAGAAAAGCAGATCAGAATCCGCCTGCACATGCTCTCTGGCACTGAAATGGGCCAACCACCACCACCACGAGGGCTTACTAGGTGCCAAGCACTGTTTCAGCAGCTTACATGTGAGAGTCACATCGCACACCTAGAGTAGACCTGGGCTTTGGGCTAAGAAAAGGCACGCAGTCTAAGCACACACAGAAGGCCCCAGGAAGGAGCTCTCAGGGCATCACCATTATTTCACAGACCAGGAACAATTTCCATTTTGACGGAATTTCCCATAGAGATGGAGAATAAAAACAGAAGCCTGGGTCAATCAGTGGTTTGTGGTTGAGGGAGCTGGATCCTATACAGCAGAACATGCTTCAAATCTTGGCCCCAGTGGCTTGAAAAACATGCCGTGTGTGTGCAGGTGTGCCCCAATCCTAACAGGATGGAAAAACAGAGAAGGGACGGAGGTGTGGCATGCCCCACTGGGAGGGGCTTTCAACCTATCCCAATTCTAGGCGAGCACATACGCCCTCTGGCAAGTACATAAATAAAACAGAAACTCAATCCATAATTAGTAACAGTGGGCAAACCTTTGAGCTTTCTGGTCCTCAAGAATGTACCTACCATCAGGGTCCTCAAATGTCCAAGGATGAAGAGGCTGTATTTGGCTCGTGTAATGGTGACATTCAATCTCTGCAAACTGGCCAGGAATCTAAGCAATCAAGACAGACAGACATTATTTCTTTCTGTAGGAAAAGTCATGATGTATTTTTGCATAGAAAAACATATATGTGCTAACCTTCCCAACAACCTAATATATCCAAGTGAGACACAAGCAGTATGCTTGCTTATTGATCTTTGGGAGAGGTTTCTGGTATTGGGCACATGAGCTCGTCAGGAAGAGACACAGAGAGATAGAAAGCAAGAAATCACCCCCCAGGGGGATGGCCACACCACAATCCCTTCTCCTCCATTCTCCTCTCGGGATCTTAGGCACGCATGCACATGCACCCGGTGTGTGGGAACCCTGGTCGACTACATGGGAGTCCGGCGGTGGAGCCATTACGCCAACTGCTAATGCCGTTAGCCTTTTTAGTTGCTCCTTCACATCTCTCAAAAATCACGCTACGCTTTTTCACTCTTTGTCCCAACACAGGGTACCTGACAGAAACAATTCCCATTAAGTAAATAAATCAAACCCCTGGTGTTTTCCTTCAAAAAGCTAAGTCTAGGAACCAGCAGATGGCATAATAGTTATGTTTCTGTACTTGCATGTGGTTGCCTGGGATTCAAATCCCCCTTAAAACTCACACAGGGCGAGTGTGTATGCATGCCCAAAATCCTGAAAGGAGAATGAAGGAGAAGGGAGTGAGGTCTGGCCATCCCCTCTTAGGAGTGATTTCTCGCTTTCTGTCTGTCTTTGTCTCTCTGGCAAGTGCATATGCCCTATAGCAAAAATCTCTATTAAAAAAAAAAAAAAAGCTAAATCTATCAATTTCCTCTTCTGACTTGATGAGATACTGGAAGTTTTATCAAATTTATTAACTGCCGATGCTGTGCATGCTTACCTCTATCCTGTCAGAATTTTAGACATGCATGCATACCTGCATGGCATGTCCCTTAAGCTGCTGGGGCTGAGTTCTGAACTATGGTTGGCCATGTAGAATTTAGCTATGCTATGCTATGTGGCTGGCCTTAGGAATTTTCTTTTAACAATATGATCTTTAAAAACCACTCCCCTCAAAAAAAACAAAAAACAAAAAACAAAAAACAAACAAACAAAAAAACCAACTCTAAAAATATTACTAGCTCAAATACTTTTTTTTTTTTTTTAAGAGAGATTTTTTTCCCTAGAGGGTGTGTGTGCTCTCTGGAAAGAGACACAGAAAGTGACAAATCACCCCAAGGGGGGATGGTCACACCACAATCCCTTCTTCTCAGGATTTTTGGCATGTATGCACACATGCCCAGCCCGAGCTTTAAGCCACTAGGTCTGGGACTTGAACCATGGTTGACTACGTGGGAGTCCAGCAATGTAACCATTATGCCATCTGCGGCTCCTGCAAACACTTCTTAAATTGAAATATATTTAGATTGCTGAAGTACAGAGCCAGCAGGCAGCGTGATGGTAAGATGATGGATTCCCACATGGCTAATAGCAGTCTGAGTTTCAGACATGGCAGCTTGAAGATCATGCCAGGTACATGTGTGTGTGTGTGTCCAAAACCCAGGAGAAGAAACTGCTGCGTGACTATCCCTCGGGGGATGATTTCTCTCTCTTTTTTAGAGAGATTTTTGGTATGGGGCACATGCGCGTATGGGGCGCATGCGGTTGCTCAAAAGAGACAGAGAAAGAGACAGTGAGAAATCACCCCCCCAGGGAGGATGGCCACGCCACAATCCCTTCCCCTCCATTCTCCTCTCGGGATCCTGGGCACACATGCACACGCGCCCGGTGTGAGTTTAAGCCACAGGGTCTGGGATTCGAACCACGGTCGGCTACATGAGAGTACAAGTCTAGCAACATAGCCATTACGCCAACCGCTGGTCTGGCGGGTGGGAGGATGATTTCTCACTTTCTCTCTATCTCTCTCCGTAGGAAAAGAGTTCAGAAATAGAACAGGTAATATAAAGGTGAAATTTCCAATCAGCTGAAAAGCATGAATTATTTACAAAACAATCCTGAGATAACTGGCCTCCATTTGTACATGTAGCCTACCTAGGGAGGGGCAGAAATCAATGATTACTTTCTTTAAGAACAATTAAACTTTAAACCTGTAAATGCCACCTGCTTCTCATGAGAAAAAACAAGTCATTACATAAGAGTCCGGGGGCCTGGAGAGCCAGGCTAGTTTCCTGTCACCTTTAACAGCGCTCAGCTCCTTCAGCAAATAAACTCACAGTAATAGTTAAAGGCTAACAAACTCAGCCAAAGCAGGAAAACAGAGAAGAGGGAAAACCACTTACGACACAGATCATGTAAGAGTAACATGCTGCTGCAAATATACTTGATCTGATTGTTTACTTAGCTCTTATTAAAGAAAATAAGAGATTTACAGTGTGAAATGGGCTCGGACCCAAGACACCAGGAGAAGTGGGCCTAACAGTGCGTCTACTTTATAACTTGAAAAGAAACCCTCATGGGGACCAGCAGATGGTGTGATAGTTACAATGCTGGAAACGAAGATAGTTGGCTGTGGTTCACATCCCAGACATGGAGGCTTAAAACTCACGCCAGAGGGACCAGTAGGTGGCGTGGTGGTTAAAGGCGCTGGATTCCCACATGGCCGACCACGGTTCAGGGCCTGGACTTGGCGGCTTGCTCTCTCACTTTCCCTTTCTTTCTCTCTCTGTCTGATCAAACTGAAAAATAATAACAATAGTAAAAAATAAAGTTAAATAAAATAATTAAAAAAAAAAAAAAACTCATGCCAGGAGGAACCAGCAGTTGGCGTAATGCTATTTTGCTGGACTCCCATGTACTTGACTGCAGTTAGAGTCCCGTGGCTTAAACTCATACTGGGCATGTGTGCATGCATACCCAAGATCCCAAGAGGAGAATGGAGGAGAAGGGACTACAGTGTGGTCATCCCCACAGGGGGTGTTTCTATCTCTCTGGTGAGCGCAAGCACCCTATAGCAAAAACCTCTCAAAAAACAAATAAAAAACCCACAAAACTCACACCAGGAATGTGTGTGTGCATGCCCGCCCAAGATCCTGAGAAGCATACTGGAGTACTGAGAAAAGACTGCCACGTGGCCATCCCGCCCAGAGGGCGATTTCTTGCTTTCTGTCTCTCCAGTGAGTACATGCGCCCTACAGCAAAAATCTCTTTTTTAAAAAAAGGAAATCTCGAGACATTATACAAATTTTTATAAAAGAAAATTACTGAAACTAATGATGGTGTTCTCTAACACTGATAGATAACGAATCTAATCCCAGGTTATAAACGAGTAAAAAGCAACAAGTCACTCACCCAATTGAGCCTTGCGTGGCATTTGCTCTGACACACGTAACGATGACGCAGTCCTTCTGACGGCCCTGGAATGCATCCACAGTGTCTACTTCTGCAGGTCTGTTTTCCAAAAGGGAAACACATTTACCAGAAAAATTAAGGTAATTATTAAACATACAAATTTACACAGTAGTGCTGTTATTGTTTTTTAAACTTTATTTATTTTAATTTGACCAGAGAAGGACAGAGTGAGAGAGGGGGCAAAATGAGAAAGCAAGTTGCCAAGTCTAGAACTTGAACCACAGTAGGCCATGTGGGGGTCTAGCACCTTTCACCACCACACCACCTGCCACCACCCCACCCCCGACCCCCAGAGTATTTTTAAGAAACTTTTCTCATGGTATCTCAGCAGCTAGCATCAATTTTCCCATCTCCCCCTGGCCCTGGGTAACCACTAATCTTTCTGTCTCTAGCCTTTCATAAATTAGAAATTTCATATAAATTGAATCTTATTTTCCCCCGCACTGTTAAGGAGTTGATTTATAACATGTCCCAAGGTTCACCCTGTTGTAGCATGTAAGTTTCTTATTCCTTCTTTAATATTTTATTGTTCAAGGTGGCGTGGTGGTTAAGGTGCTGGACACTCCCACATGGCCAACCATGGTTCAAGTCCTGGACCTGGTGGCTTGCTTTTTCACTTTACCTTTCTCTGGTGAATTAAAATAATAATGAATAAAATTAAATAATATTTTATTGTTCATACATACCACAATTTATCCATTCATACCAGATGGACATTTGGGTTGTTTCTATTTTATGGCTACCATGACATTATAAATATTCACGTGTAAATTTTTGTAAACATTTTTCCAATCCATTTGGGTATATATACCTAGGAGTGGAAGTGCTAAACCATATGGTAATTCTGTATTTCATTTTTTGAAGAATCATCAAACTGTATTCTACAGTGATTCACCATTTAATATTCCCACCGACCAATGTATAAGGGCCCCACTTTCCTCACAATCTCCCTAACACTTGTTATCTCTCTTTTTAAATTATTTTAAATTATAGCCACTCTGGTGAGTGTGAAGTGGTATCTTATGGTTCTGACTGTATTTCCCTAGTGGCAATGACATTAAGCATCTTCTGTTTATTGGGCATGGATGAGAAGGGATTACGGTGTGGCCATCCCCCTGGAGCTGATTTCACACTACCTCTCTGCCTCTCCAGCGAGTTTATGTGCCCTACAGCAACAATCTCTTTAAAAATTATGTGTTTAAATATAAGCATATATTATTAAATATTATTTCCACCAGATATCTTGGGGATGCAACCCAAGTCTAAACATAAAAATTCATTTATGTTTCATACACACTTTATATGCATAGCCTGAATACTATCAAATATTCTGTTTTGACTGCAACCCATCACAAGGTCTGGTGTGGACTTTACCACTTGTGGCATCATGCTGATACTCAAATACGCTTGGGCTTCATCCCAGGGGCAGTGTTGTGGCAGCAGTATGCTACCCTGTGATGCCTGAGCCATGTGGAAAATCAAGGTCTGGTTCACAGGTCAACTTGTACCGCCAGGTGCATGGGTACATGCCTATTGTCATAGCTGGCTAGAAAGCTGGGGTAAGTGCGTGATGTGAGACCTTGTGAAGTAAAGGTGCTCATCTCTCTCTCATGAAAAACACAGGCCTGAAAAAAATCCAAGGTCCAGCAAGGTGGTTAGACCACTCTAAGTGGTGGATCCTGTTAAGAACATATTATGGTGCTGGATCCAACATGCCCAACTCCATGGTTCAAGTCCCAGACTCAGTGATTTGAAAAACAGGCTGAGCACATGTGCACGCATGCCCAAAATCCTGAGAGGAGAATGGAGAAGGGATTCTGATGTGGCCATACCCCTTGTTCCGTTCCCCCTGTGTGTGTGTGTGTGTGTGTGTGTGTGTGTGTGTGTGTGATTTCTTGCTTTCTCTCTTGTCTCTCTTTCCAGTGAGTGCATGCGCCCTACAGCAAAAAAAAATCTAAAAAAAAAAAAAAACAAAAAAAGAATTTCGGAGAATTTCAGATTTTTGATTAGGAATTCACAACCTATACATTGTTGAATAGAAGCAACAAGAGAAAATATCCTTGTTGATCTTAAGGGAAAGGCTTTTAGACTTACCATTATATATGATACTGGCTTTGAGGATTTTGTCAAATTTTTTTTTTTTATTTAACTTTACTTATTCATTCATTCATTCTTTTTTTTTTTGGAGAGATTTTCACTATAGGGCACGTGCGCTCGCCAGAGAGAGAGAGACATTAGAGACAGAAAGCGAGAAATCACCCCCCAGGGGGGATGGTCATGCCGCAATCCCTTCTCCTCCATTCTCCTCTCGGGATCTTGGGCACGCACGCACATGCGCCCGGCGTGAGTTTTAAGCCACCGGGTCCGGGACGCGAACCGCGGTTGACTACGTGGGAGTCCAGCGACATAGCCATTACACCAACTGCTGGTTCCCTCATTCATTCTTAATTTGACTAGAGAGATACAGAGAGAAAGAGAAAGCAGGTGAGAGAGCAAGCCACCAGGTCCAGGACTCAAACTGTGGTCAGCCATGTGGGAGCACCCAGCGCCTTAACCACCACGCCACCTGCTGGTCCCCCATGTCAATGGTTTTTTATTAGGTTAAGAAAGTTCCTTTGTATTTCTAGTTTGCTGAATGTTTTTAGCAAGAAAAACTGTTGGATCCTGTCACATGGTTTTTCTGTATCTACCGAGATGAGCTGTGGGTTCCCACCCTTTATTAACATAATATATATCAGGCCGGCAGTTGGCGTGGTGGTTAAGAGTACTGGACTCCCACATGGCCAGCCGCGGTTTGAGTCCCAGACCTGGAGGATAGCTTTCTCATTCTCCTTGTCTTCTCTCTCTCAGTCACTGAGACAGAGAGGGAGGGGTATATATAGGGGTATATATATGTATATAGACACACATACAGTATATATCCCAACGATTGATTTTGTTTGTTGAGCAAGCCTTATACTCCTGGGATAAACCCCACTTGGCAGTGACGCATACCCCTTTAATATGCTGCTGAATTCAGTTTGCCACTATTTTCCTGAGGACTTTTGCATTTATATTCATAAAGGATATCAGTCTGTAGTTCTCTCTTTTTGTGTTATCTTTTCCTGGTTTTGGTTACCAGGAAATGCTGGCTTCATAAAATGAGTTAGGAAAATAAAAAAAGGGATCAGCAGGTAGCATGCTGGTAAAGGGTGCTGGAATCCCACATGGCCAACCGCGGTTCAAGTCCCAGATCTGGCGACTTGCTTTCTCACTCTCTCTCCCTCTCTCTTCTCTATTCTTCTCTGGTCAAATTAAAATAAATAAATAAATAAATAAATGGATAAGTTAAAGTTAAATAAAATAAGATAGAAAAAGGAAACTTTTTTAAAAAATGAGCTAGAAAATGTTTTCTAATTTTTTTTTGAAAAGCTTAAGAAATTAATGGTTTTTAATTCTTGCTTTGATATTTGGTAAACGCTACCAATGAAGTCTGGTCTTGGGCTTTTCATTATAATTAGGAGGTGTTTAATTACTAATTGTATCTCTATTTCTTACACACTGTTCAGATTTCCCATTTTTTCTGGAGTGAATTTTGATACTTTATGTGTTTCTATGTTAAACTTTTGAGGTAGTAAGTTTCTAACATTTAATCTTTAAGTTTACTATTGAGGTAAAAAGGAGAGAAAAACACAGTATATATAAGGTAGTAAAATGGTGAAATCATTTATTCAAAGTGGAATGTGATTTCACTTGTCTCACTAGAATTAAAATTCAGATCGACAGATCATGTAATTAAAGGAAAAAGACGTGGAAAGTGTCTCACCCAATTCCATTGTCAAGCATAATGCTGCGTCATAACCACGCTGCTCGGCCTACAAGGCCACAGCGTACCCAGCACCTGCCCAGCACGAGCCTGAGAGCCAGCACCCCAGTCTCCCAGTGCTGTGTCTCCATCTAACACGGTCTAAGGTCATTCCCTCGAGTTAAGTTTCCTTTTCTCCTTTCAATTTCTTCCTTCCATTATAGTCCAACAGAAAATGGGATACATTTGTAAAAAGACCTCACCCTTTTCGATCAAATTCTTTGTCCAAATCCTTCTGAATCATTGTCTTCTGAGCCTTGTAATGGGTTATTATGCCAATGTTCCGGAAAGTAACATCCCTTCTTTTGTCCTTAATAAGTTTAATTAGTTCCATCACCAGTTTTATTTCTTGAACATTTACATATGAGCTAAATAAAACAGAAAAAGAAAACACGACATATCAAAACAAACAGAAGTCCAAACGCAAATCCAAGTTCCACTTAGTTTGTTTCCTATTCCAGTAAAGAGCAGGCAGATAGACTTCATCTTTTATTCAGCCAGCAGTGATTCAAAGATGCTGTTTTAACAGCCTTTTACTATCACACATGTGAATAACTGAGGAATGAAACATGAACTTTTAAAGGGAAGAAGAGTTTGCAGTCAAATGAAATGAAGGAAATGATTTCTTCATCTGTTAGAACAGGGAAAGCAGCAGTATTTATAATAATGAAGATGTGAAGAATAATAGCCAACACGAATTCAGGGTTGACCACCTTCCAAACACTGAGCAAGTGTGTCATGTTCCTAATTTAACACGACTGCTCATGCAGACCATGCACCACTTACTGAGAAGATGCCACTCACACAGTGTGGACGCTGGGGCCTGAGCCAAACACGGGGCCTTGCTGCAGGTTGATGCCCTCCTGCCCCCCCTGCCAGCCTCACACCCTGCCCTCCTCACCCCTAAACTTCATGTGCTCCCCTGCATTACCACACCAGTGCCAGCACACACCAACACGAGTGGATGAACTGCGCCTGAACTGTTAATCCTAGGCTACCAGATTTACCTGTTTTTTTCGAGAGCTTCAATACTACATCCCTAACTTCAAGACTTATTTTACAGGCAGCCCGGTCAGCTAGAAACTCATCCATCCCTGAGATCTTCACTGTCTTTGCTTGCCTCTCAGGTTAAGCCTCACTGGTCGGCATTCTTCTAATGACATTCCATCCCACGAC